ACCTTTAAGAAAAAGTTTCAATGTTGGATGCTTGAAGAAATCAGCTGCTGGAGAGTTAGGGGGCTGATAAGAAACTATAGTGGAGAGGTAAACTCTTGAGGAAGACAGGGAAAGACCGCTAGATTTGAGGTGCAAAAAATTTAGAACAGTAGCAAGTGATGGGTTGATAGAAGGTAATGAAGAAGTTTCAGTGAAATATTTGAATCTGTTCCATTTATACAGGTAAGCCTTTCTAGTGGAGGGCTTCTTTGATTGACGGAGGACGTTCATTAGCGAGCCAGAATCCTCCACGCTGCCAGGTGCAGAACAGTAAGTCTGGGTGGAGTACTTGGGTGTTGTTCTGCATGAGGAGGTGGGGCAGGTGAGGGAGGTGATGAATGTCTGATGAGAGATTGTGAAGGACTGGAAACCAGAGTTGTCTCGGCCACCGAGGGACTATAACGATTGCATCGGGTTTGTCTTGTTGTAGGTGAACCACAACCTTGTGGAGAAGCATGAACGGCGGAAAAAGGTAAGTGAGGGTCTTGGGCCATCAGCCAATGAATGCATCTCCTTGGGAGTGTTTGCCAATGCCGGCTTGGGAGCAGTATCGTTTGAACTTCCGATTCACACGGGAGGTGAAGAGGTTGAGAGCTGGTTTGCCCCATCGTTCGCATAGGCAAAGAAAAACTGATTGGTCTAACTCCCATTCGTGAGCTTGAGAGTTGGTGCGGCTGAGTAGATCGGCCAAATCGTCGTCGTGGCTGGCAATGTGTAAAGCTGTGAGGTAGGTATTATGTGCTAGGCACCACTTCCAGAGGTCGACTGCTAAACAGAGGAGACTTGGAGAGTGGATGCTACCTTGTTTCAGAATATAGTATATCGCTGTGGTGTTGTTGGTGGCAATTTGTACCATCTTTCCAGCAAGGAGATTTCTGAAAGCTTTGCAAGCTTTTATAACCGCCAACAGCTCTATTTCGTTCATGTGAAGCATTTTCTCTTTGGAAGACCACTTGGTGTGGATTTTGAGATATTTGCAGCGAGCTCCCCAGCCTGTGAGGCTGGCATTGGTGGTGACTTTTATTTGTGGTCATGATTGTCGGAACGGCCGCCCGACGGATAGGTTGGGAGGAAAATGCCACCACTGAAGTTGGAAGGTGAGTTCTGGGGTGACCCTTAAAAGAGTGTGAGGAGGGTCTGTGAGTGGGTAGAAGAGGGCAAGAAACCATGACTGAAGAGATCTCATCTTGAGATGTACGTGCTGCACTACTGAAGTCATAGAGGCCATGGTGCCTAGTACACGTTGCACAGTCAAGGCACGACAGGAGGGGCGGAGTCAAGAAAACAGTGGTAGACTGAGGGGAGTTAGAGAGAAAGGGGGAGAGATAGGGAATGGAAGTGAGAGAGGAAAAAAAAGGAGTTTTGAAGGGTTAAGAGAGAGATTGAAAAGTTGGTGTGGGTTAGAGAATAGATAAGAGATAAAAGAAATAAAAATAGATAGACAGTCCTAAGATATGGTTACAGTGGTTAATGTGAATGAATACAAACAAGCAAATGTGTAATCCTATCCAAGTTTAATGACTGAATAATAAAAGAACATCTATGACTTTACTTCTGTGATTTACCAATCAAACAATAAATAAACCTGTTATATTTGGCAGCCCAGATCTAAGAAATATATTTGGTACAGAGTGGATAAGGATCACTGGCGGCACAGGTAAAAGGAGAAAACAGTACATTGTGTCCGAAGGTGGACCTGTGTTTGAGGGAAAACAAACAGGGGACACTGGGGGAACACGTCAGCGGGTAGAATGAGGGGTGAAAACAAAGTAATGCAATGAGATTTTCTCTCTTGTCTGGAGGAAGAAAGGTGCAAACTTGTGTGGAATCTATGCATGTGCCTATATAATGAATAATCTTTGTAGGTTTCAAATATGATTTTTGTTCGTTGACAGCGAGATTGAGATTGCGAAGGAGGGTAAGGGTGAAGTGAGTGTCTTGTTGGGCCTTGTGATGGGAATGAGCTAGGAGGAGTCAATCGTCGATGGAAATATGATAATTTTTTTGCAACCTGAGGTAAGCAGCTATTGGTGCCATGCACTTGGTGAATACTCTTGGAGCTGTTGCAAGGCCAAAAGGAAGCCTTTTGAATTGGTAGGCTTGTAATCCTAGCTGAAACTGAAGGAATTTTCTGTGTGAAGGATGTATGGAAATACGGAAGTATACGTCTTTGAGATCTATGACAGTGAACCAGTTGTTTTCACAGAGTAAAGGAAGAACTGATTTGAGGGTAACCATATGGAATTTTGTGGTAATGATATATTTGTTTAAGTCTCATAGGTCTAAGATAGGGCAAAGACTTCCATCCTTTCTGGATACAGAGAAATAGCGAGAGAAAATCCCATGTGTTGTGTTCTGAGATGGGCTGTATGGCGTCTTTGAGGAGTAAATTTCTTATTTCCTCTTATAGGGTTGGAGATGGTGGAGTAATGACATGTGTTGTCGGAGGAAGTTAGAAGAAATGGATGCAGTAGCCGTCATGGATGATGGACAGTACCCAGGCATCTGCAGTAATGGATTCCCAGACAGGTAGGAATTTCCAGAGGGCAGGATGGGTGGAGTGATGTGCAATCTCGGTCATCGGAGCGTCAAACGTAATGTTTGGGCATGCAGTCGTTGCTAATAACGGGTTGTTGGCGGAATTTATTGTGACAAACCCAGACCTACTGGGATATGTCACACAGTTACACTAAGCTGCCACCAACCATTCCCTTTAAGAAGTCACACAGACCAGGGATGGATTTTTAAACAATAAAAAGAATAAGGTTTATTTTAAATACACACAGGGAAAAATAAACAATCAGGTGAATAGGATAAAGTAACGTGGCTTATTCTCACTCATACAAGCATACAGTTTGGTTCACCCAGAACCCTTAACTTAAAGCACAGACCCTGAACCTATCAGTTCTGGCTAACCAACAGACACCTGAACCTATCAGGTTGGTACTCTGACACACAGAAGTACCCTGTCTGACACACAGACTCCCACAACAGCTTCTTCTTCCCAGCTGCTGCTTCGTCACAACCCAGTGTCTCCCAGTGTCTCTCTTTCACCACACAGGCATCACATATATTTATACAGTACAGCCCCTCCTCCTGATGTCCCGCCTTCCACTCCCCATAGGATGGAACTTTCCCTCCAAACCCATGACAGACAGGTAACATCAGTGCTGTATGTAACAATGTCAAGCATCAGAACTTTCTGACCTGACATGTACAGGACTAATGTAGTATGACCACCTCTATAATAAATAGAATTGTTCAGGTGTTGATATATTTTCCCAATTGAAAAATATTCTCTGTAGACTCAGAAGGTACTGAGCAGTGAATGTCAAGCATCAGAACTTTCTGACCTGACATGTACAGGACTAATGTAGTATGACCACCTCTATAATAAATAGAATTGTTCAGGTGTTGATATATTTTCCCAACTGAAAAATATTCTCTGTAGACTCAGAAGGCACTGTGCAGTGGCGTAGCATGGGCAGAGGCCACATGCCCTAGGTGGAAAATATGAAAAGGAACTTTCCTACCCCATGCCGCCCACCTGCCTTTTATAGCCTGGGTGAGGCTGCCTGGACACTTCTGGAGGAGTCTCCCCCTCCTACCGAACGAGAGGGCACCACCCGAGGTGGGTGAGCTCCTCATTTAGGAAGCATTGTGAGGCACACCTTTGACCTCAGGACTTTTCCACAGGCCCCTACCTGGCCTGTCTTGGCCACCTGCCTTGGTTTGGGCTGCAGGAATGGGCCACCCTTCGCATTCACAGTTGGTGCCCCAGAAGCAGGGCTCCTGCAAGGGCCAGGGTGACCTTGTGCAACAAAGGTGGCATTTGCAGGGAGTTGGGAAGCAGTACGAGTTCACTGCTAGGGAGCATTGTGAATAGGGGTGCAATATTTGCCTTCCCCCGGGTGCTGGCCATCCACATTATGCCACTGGTGCTGTGTGCCAAATCTGCAACTATTTAGGCCAGTGCTGATAACAAAACTATGAGGATATTCAATATTTGTTGATTGGCCCCATCCTCTTCTGTAGTATATGGATAAGCTATTCTGGTCAGAATCTATCCATATCCAAACTGCTTCCAGAGAGTTTGTGTGTGCAACCTTGTATACACTACAAATCATTGAATATCTTTAGACTTCAGTACTGGGTGTATACAAGCAAAAGAAATCCTCCTTCAACTGTCATCTAATTCTGAATGAGATAATGGGATGGGAATGCATAAATATCATAGCTAATGAAAGGAAATACAATCCCAGCACTCACACTTTCCATCCCCCATCTCCTTCTTGGTTTTTAATCTTACCAAGAAACCTGCCCTTTTGGAACCATTAACACCCCCCACCCCCCCATTAATGCTTCCTGAATGACTCACCTCTTCACGCATCTTTTTCACTGTTTCCCCTTTCTGAAGATGCAAAAAAAAAGAAAGAAAGAAAAAGAACAAGAAACAATGCTGTAACAAAATCAGCACATCTGAATCAACCTTAGCAGAAATATCATTAATTATATTATCTTCATCTTCATATTATTCTTAGTCTTTTAAGTCGATAATTTTCTTATAGGGCAATTTCTGATAAATAGGTAAAATGTCTTCTGTGCTAAAAAAAAGATAGCAGAACATCTTAATATCAACCCTTGTACAGTGGACCCTCTACTTAAGGAATTAATCTGTATTGGAACGGTGGCTGTAAGTCGAAAAGTCTGTAGGTCGAATCTCCATTGACCTACAATGCATTGAAAACTGATTAATCCCACAACTGGCTGGTTTTATTCTATTTTTGTTCCATTTTTGTTTTTTTCTGGTCTGTAAGTCAATTCTCCGGCTGCAAGTCAAATCTAAATTTTGCGGCCAGAGAAGTCTGTAACTCGAAAAGTCTGTAAGTCGAGCCGTCTGTAAGTCGAGGGTCCACTGTATTGGTGATTGATGCCTTGTAAGGGAATTCATGGTAGTTGCCACAGCAAATTACACTCATTAACACAGCCCCGGTTGCTTTCCCAGAACAGTGCCAATTTGTGTGAACAGGCAAGTGTCTAGAAACAAAATAGAGCCTTGCTAATAAATAGCAATTCACTCCCAAGATTTAAAAGGTTTTGCCCTGGTGAAGCAGATAGTCCTCTAGTCAACCATTCCACAGAGTGCAATCTTTCTTTCAGGATTTAGATCTCTAGATAGTAGAGAGATTTTCCCCTAATAATAGTAAGAACCTGTTCAGAAAGGAGATGGATTGGATACTGAAGGTTGGAATTCTGGCTCCCCAGAGCCTCAGAAAGGAGCTTAAGTTTAATCCCCACATTTCTATACATGTTTTTTTTGCTGCTGCCAGGGAGTAGGCCTTGACTAAAATGATGCTGAAACTATCTACCCAAAATGCAAAAAAATTAAAGGAGCATAATAATTACCTCTCCCTCAGAAAATATCTGTTGTTATTTGCAAAATTTAGAGACATACTTTCCTGCAGGAAAATTTCTATACCGTTTTGTAAGTATACAGAGAGTATATAGACGATGTCACGTATATATGCCATTTTTATTAATTTACTATATTACCCTTATATATTTTGAATTTATCTGTAAGCTAATATAAGACATATATTATCTTACAGATAAAATATATGCAATTAATTATCCTGAGGCTGATGAGATAGCTGAATGATTTTGGTATCTGTCTGTGGAGCCAGAGGTTGGGAGTACAATTCCTCACTGTGTCTTCTGTGAGTGGAGCAAGCAAAAGTTCCAGTATATCCCACACATGATGACACATCATCATCATCATCATCATCATCATCATCATCATCATCTTCTTCTTCTTCTTCTTCTTCTTCTTCTTCTTCTTCTTCTTCTTCTTCTTCTTCTAGTCTGACTTGGATATCCAAAGAGAGACAGGGAGGTCTCCCTAGTTGTAGAAAAAAACCTTAGAATTTGCAGAGCTGGAAAGGATCCTATGATTCAAGTCCAGCCCCTATCAAGGAGGCACAGAGGGGTATCCAACTCCCAACTTCTGGCTCTGCATCCAGATGCCTAAACCACTGGTCTACTGGCCACTTAAGGAGGATAGGGATGGCTGAATGACCTGCTGCTGCACCACAGTATGGGTGCACTGTGCTTGATATGTACATGGGAGGTAGCTGGGAAGGAACAGAGAGAGAAGGCACATTGATCCCCATGCTGATGCTCTCCTGTGCATGCAACTATGCCCACATGGAATATAAATTTTTTAAAAATGCATTAATTTAAGAAATTACCTTTCCAATGATGCTTCCAACTTCCTGTTTAAAAAGAAAAATGACAACAAAAAGAAAATTTAACATTCATTAGCAAAGCATAATTTGCTAATGGTACACTTGGATTTTAAACCGGCAGTCATATGATGATATAGAGAAAATACATTTGATTCATTATAGATGAGATGACGCCGGGGAGAATGACACTTAGTCTGGGATCTGTTAAATGTGTCTCCAAGGTGTTCAACATACCCAGCAGCTTTTTTGTGTGCTAGGCTCTCTGCCCATCCATTGCTTGCTGTTCTGCTAAGGCACAAGTGAGCAACTCATTTCTATTTGATATTGAATATTTCCATGAATACATTCTTTCTCTTCTATTTCAACCTCCCTCCTGGGGAAAGAAGCATGTGCCTAGGGGCCAGCCCTCCTCACATTGAGAGGAAGATCTTTTGCTTCTTTGGTCACCTAGTTGGAGACTCATCCACCCAGAAAGTGAGGCCTCCTAACTCCACAGCTATGTCCACCCTGACAGTACTTTGTAGCCTTCTTTGCTCTCCATAGTGTAGGCACCATCGTAAGGAAGAGACTAGCAGTCTCTTTGCTCTGCTGGTGTTTTGACTCTTTCTCCTGAAGGCCTGGAAACCAGCAAGGACTTTTAGCCCACACACACCAAGGGCAAAGGATTATCCTGAGGCAGGCGGCTGGCTGGTGGCTTCTCTAAACTCAAGGGTATTTGGTACTTTTATTTTACACTTCACATGGAAGAGTTGGCACCAAAAATCCAAGCTGCTGGTTATGCAACCAGTTGTCAATATTTGCAGGGGATGGTGCTGGTGGCTAAGGCTGTTGTAGAGTTTTGAATTTTGGTTAAACTTCTCTAGCTATGCAGCGGAAGTGCAGGGAGTCACAGAGCAAGTTCCCCAGATCAATCCACCCCTTTTTCTCATCATTGCAACTGGTGGTCTTATCTTGATCTCTGTATGCAAGAGTGACAGGCTAGAACACAAAGTCCCATACTTGCAACTGGTTGTCATGTCCATTTGTGTTTGATAAGATGGCTGGTTGCAGTCTCAGGTGAGATAACTGGGACACCTCCTGGCCCCCTCCCGCAAATGAACATACACAGGTTGATACCAACAAACAGTTTATTGATAAAGGTAACAAGTAGAGATGGGGGTATTCATATAAATTATGAATATCCATGCACAGGTGGCGTTAATGAAGGTCCACCCACTGATCCACCGTGGATGCGGACAGCGTGATTCGCTTGCCACTCTTCGACCTTGCAGTGAGGCTTGTCCTCCCGCCTCCTGCCAGGAATAGCAAGCGGATCGCGTGCTGCGGCGCCATTCGTAGAATCACGCCGTCCGCATCTGCAGTAGATCAGTGAGTGGACCGTCCAGCCCCATGGGGCTGGACCCTCGTTAACACCACCTGTGTGGAGATATTCCTATTCATATACAAATACAAAAAAACCAATCTCTAAGAAGCAAATAGTGGAAGAAGATTAGTGGTAAGTGGTGGGTAAAAAAGGCCACCACTTGGGTTGGCCTTTATTGGCACATTATTGGCACAGTGCAAAGAGCAGATCCCTAGATCAGACAACCCACCTGTCATCTGTTCTCCATCCATTCCAGCAAACCACAGCATAACCACAGCGCTGTTGGTCAACAACATGTACCCCTCTGGGCACGAATCCATTAGGGTAAAGGAAGACCCCTTGGTTTCACTGTGGGGAACTCTGGTAGCCCACCCAAGCTGGGCCTGCCTCTATCATTTTCCCCCTCCCCTGCAACAGAGGATGGGGGAATCATTTGTATGGGATAAGGCCAAATGCCTGTCTTCTTTTCTATAGATCTGCTCCTATGTGTCAAATCACCCCTTTCAGCTGTCAGCCAAGCCGTACATTCATGTAAGGCATGCAACCCAAAACAGCAAGTTATTAAAAACTATCCACATTGTAAGGTAACACAATAATGCAAATAGAAAAAAGGATTGGGTGGACAGGAGATTTCCATGTGGGAGACTGCTGGAGAAGACTCCTGGAGGGTTTTTTAAACCCCCTGAGAATCATGGCGGGGAGTTTCTCCTCAAAGCACTGGCAGCGGCCCTGATTAGATGGCTGGCAATGTTTCCCCCAGGAACTCATTTCTTCGCAAGGGTACCCAGGATGATTAGTGGTGGCTGGGGTGTGTGTGTGCCCCTCCTTCCCAGGCTCAAACTGGGTCCCTGTCAAATGTGCAAGGTGGCTTACAGATAATTTCCCAAAGGAAAGAAAGGGTCCAAACTGCTGTTCTCACAACTTGCTGTCATTCCTCCAAAACTTATTTCTTCCCTCTGTGACCTAAGTTACCAGTCCCTTCACCAAATACTGTACAAGGTGGCCAGAAATACCATTGAGGTTATAGAGGTAGGGGCTGGACAGCCACCTATCATGGGAAGGTCCTGTGGAGGAGCAGAGTGGGAGCATTGACTTTGCAGTGGTGGCAAAAGCATTCATAGCAGGTAAGGAATTTTCCCTCATGTGGAAAGGGCAGACTGAAAGGCACAAGCTTGTCCCCATAGGAGAGTGATTGAAATGGAAGAGAAAGGATGTATTCACAAACATTTAAGGATTTCTGGCAGGGACGGAGTTTTACTCTGCTGCTTAAAAGCCAGTCTTTCGGGAAGCAGATTTTCCCCCCCTGCACATTAGGGAAAGATTTAATGAAAATGAAGGATCCTTGTCTCACTTTATGTTGGAACTGTGGAATCTTTCATCACTTTGCAATTCCTTGTTGAGGTGTCTTATGGAGTCTAGAAGCCTAAATCAATGAGGGCAACAAATTTATCAAGTATTCTTCATATCCGTGCACTGTACAGTAAGTATGAACTTCCAGTATGGCAACAGATTCACCCATTCAGCTATACAGCAACATAACAAAAATTTGTGTTACAGATCACTAGTTTGGGACTACAATTCTATACAGCCTAATAAGCAGTGATTTTAGACCTTACATGATGACCTAAGCTTCCTAGGAAGCACCAATGCCGTTTCTTTTTTTCTTTCTTTTTTCTTTTTTGTACATTAATAGCCAGAAACATGGGCCTTGGAAGCTTCTGAGTCAGTCCCTGAAAAGCAAGATCTGACAAATGGGACCTTTTGATTCTGTTGAACCAGTTTCAGCCCTCTGTCATGTGAACAGTGGTGAAAAGAACATTAAACAAACACGTAGGTTTTTCAGGCTGTTTGGCCATGTTCTGGAGTCAAAACCAAGGCCTAACAGCCCAAAAAACCTACAACAACCATCTGATCCCGGTTGTGAAAATCTTCAAGAATACATTAAACAAATACTTTGTGTGGACAAGGTGTTACAGGAAAACCTAGTAACCTGAAATAGATTCAGACATTCAAGGCCAGATGTGGTACATCCAAAAATACAAAGGAATTTGTAGGTATAATCTCAGAGGCTGAGAACTCTTGGAGAAGAAGGTCACAGAAGGCTTCAGGTAAACAAATATCCAAGGAGCTTTCATTTTCATTAAATCTTCCCCTAATGTGCACAAAAAATATCTGCTTCCAGAAAGACTGCTTTTAAGCAGCAGAGTAACAACCTTTCCCTGCCAGAAATCCTGAAATGTTTTGAAGAATTGAATTTCCTGGCTTTTTAAAACAGGAATTTGAATACACACATGCTACACACAGTTTTAATCAGAAATGTCCTTCATATAGAATTACACAGTGGTAGAGGGTTCCAGAAGATGAGCATATGATCTGTACTATGGTTACCAGGAGAAGTCAGAAGCGAGAACAGCTCAATCTCTCTGTGACAAAATATTTTGAAGGGCTGTTCTGGAATTAATGAAATTGTAAAGCGAAGGTGTGAGGAGCTACAACACATATAGTGGAGAACGATACACAGCCTTTAACCTCTCAATTAAACTAATGTTGCCTTGATCGTTCCACCAAATGCAAACTAGAAAGCTATGTTCCAATTTCCAAACCCTTTCTTTGAGTTAGGCAAGCTGAGGAAGAAAAACTATATTGGACCAAAAGCTCTATGGACCTGTGTGTGGATGTTTCCCAAAAGATGTACCACTTGCTTTTTGAATTTTTTTTAAAAAAGAAAGAGGTTGGAGTTAGCAAAGAATGTCAGTCAAAACCAAGGTCAAAATCATGCATACTATGTAAAAGGAAGATAATGAAAAAAGACAGGGACAAACACTGGCAGCAGGAAGAGAGAAGAACCTAACATGATGTAGTTGTTTTGCAAGATCTGAGCAGAGTTCTTAGTGATAAGACATTTTGGAAGTCAGTGACTCTGAGTGAGAAAGGTGGGGGAAAGTGGGGCTGAATTCCTTTCTGTCTCTCTAATCTTCACCTAATGTTCTCCCCTCATCCTTGGCTGCTGTCTTCTTACTCTATAGTAAACTAGGTAAATTTACTCATGACTGAACCAGGTAAAACTTGTTTTGAGATCATTCTCAGCCACAAAGTCAAAAACCCGGTAATTTCACAGTTTAAATGAGTGAGCTAAATATTATTCTGTAAGTTTTTAAAGTGTCTTTTAAAATATTTTCACAAGAAGGAGTTTAAAATGTTTGGCCAGGAAGAAGTTAAATGTGTTCTTTCACAACCATTGAATGGTGTTCTCAGGGGCAGGGTCAAAAGTTCAGTCCATTTAGAATGTTGGCAAGTTATAGAGGAAAGCCCAGAAACTCATATTTTATCTTGCTTTAAAATAGCTACTTTGAAACTGTCCGTTACAGCCATGAATGACTAAATTCCTTCAAAATGAAAAAAAAAAGTGGTAGGCACAGAACTGTTATTTCCAGGTATCCAAATTTAGTCTAATCAGTGTATTTGATCTATTTTAAATCAGCTGGAACTCCAGGTGACCTTGCCTTTGCACAGCATAAAGCAGTGACTTTTTTTAAAAAATTGTAACTCGAAAACCCTTTGTCCAAATGTCTCCAGAGCAAGAGCAGACTTTCTGCTATATCCATGACAAATTTGTTGCTGATGAGAGACCCAGATTCATAATTACAATTTTTTGTTTGGGGGCACCCCTCCTTTTTTAAAGTTGGCTTACAAATGTTGAATCCTGCTCAGCACAATATATTGGTGCCTTCTCGGGCACTGATAATCATCCCAAACTTGAAAGAGTGGGGATGGGGTGGGGGTGGAGAGAACATGGGCAGCTATTGTTGGTCAGCTTAGTACCAATAATAGGAAAAGTTCCAGAACAGTTCATTTAATGGTTGGTCTGTGAGCATTTAGAAAGTAATGTGGCAATGAGGATACTTCAACTAAACATTAGAAAGTACTGGCTAACAATGACAATGGAACTGACTGCCTTGAAGGGTGGTGGACGCTCCTTTACTGGAGAATTTAGAGCAGAGGTTGAATTGTCACCTGTCCCAGATGCTTTAGCTGGGGATTTTCTGTACTAGCATGGGGTTGGACTCTTTCTGTACTAGCATGGGGTTGGACTCTGTTCATACACTTTCCAGCTCTACAATGTAATGATTTTCAACTGGTGTAGTGTCAGACATGATACTATGCAGTATGTCTTGAGATAACAGCAATCTTGCATACACTAAAATTAGGTATCAATGGGAGGGCAACTTTTCATCCTAACATCATTTTTCCCCCCACTAACTTGATTTATAAAGTTCTCTCCCCACCTCTGGCATTTTAGTCAAGCCTCACTTCTTATTTATTTTTGGTTCCATTGTTTTGTTTGGTTCCATTGACTCTTTTCCTTCTGACCATCCTCCAAACAGCAAGCTTGCAGGATCCGCTGCATGCTGGAAATGCTATTTTCCCTTTTTTCTTCTTCTGACTGTAACTACAAATAGTAATTGTAAGCAAAATTCCTTTTCCGTACTTTCAATGCTTCTAGAACTATTTTTTTAAATGATACAAAGTGCTAGTTTGTGTGCAAACCTGAAGGATGTTGTTTGATGAGACTGGACTGATCTCTCCATGTTTCTGTGTTGTTTTCTTTTTCTTTTTTCCTACCTAATTCTGCTAACTAAAAGGAATAACCAAATTCCCAGACTCCTCCATTTTAAAAAAAATCAGCCTCCCAATAGTCTGAACTAGAGATGGGCACAAACCTCAGTTTGGAGGTTTGTGCCCATTTGAATGCCTGCCACCTGCCACACATTCCCTTCCCCCTGCCTCCCTGGCTGGATCCCTCATTCACCAGTCAGTGCATGTGCTTCTCCTCCTCTTCAGCTGTTTGACCAGTCTCTGACAGGAGCATGGCCTTCCCTCCCCCTCCCCCCCCCCCCACTTGGCTGATCAACTATTCAGACAAGAATGCAGGACAGGCAACACTCTGCTCCGCGTGAGGAGTGTTCGAAAAGATGAGCAGGAGAAGGAGAGGAGCATGCTCTGACCGGTGACTGGGTAATTGGCGGAGGGGGGAAAAAGGAGAATGGAACACATGGGGCACCTGTGATGCCATGCATATGAACTGGCATAAACCAGCACGAGCCACTGAACCAAAGTTTGTGCCCATCTCTAGTCTGAACACATCGCCCTGGCAAAAAAGATTATTCCTAAACCCCATATGTTTCCCAAACTGTGGTTTAACTGAAAGACAGGAGTGGCAAGAAGGGATGGGAGAGGCCACAGATTCCCCCAGCAGAGAATCAAATGTGGCCTACTGACCAAATGTAACAAGCTATTCTTCAGTTCACTTTGATATTAAATGTTAATGGAATCGCACTGCTGTGCAATTGCAATGGAGAAAGAAGGTTGCAAAGCAAGAACAAGCTGATTTCCCCTCCTTTTGACTTTGCTGTGCTTCGAATCAGCCACCTTGCCTTACCAGTTCCAATGGACACCAGCTTGCTCACCTTCCCGTGCATCAATAACCGAATGGTGAGGGTTACATTCAGGCCGCCTTCAGAGACTTTGGATTCCATCACCTATTGCAGTATGGGGCCTTCACAGGAAAGGATTGCCTGTAATGAAAAGAAGCAAGCAGGATGTAATCTGGTTTCTTGCTGCACATGGCTGAAAGTATTTTGGCCTAGGAACCTCAAAAGAGTCTGACCCCATGTTAAATTCTAGTTGTCTATGAAAAGGCCTCCCTCTGAACATTCTAGTCGGACTCTGCTGAACCTGCAGGGATAGGAAAAGGTAATTTTTAAGACTGCAGCTCTCTGAATCCTACAGCCAGCATATCCAGTGGCCATGCTGTCTATGGCATTCTGGGAGTTTTCCAAAAAGTAACCTTCTCCGATTTCTGATACTGGTGGGCTCTGAGCAAAAATGCACACGCTCTATGTTCAGCCTTAGCAATCAAATGAAAAGGTACATACAGGGGAAGAAGGATCAAGTCTATCCTAAGCTGAATGGGAGAACCCAGACCCCCAAAGAGATGCTGGGGGAGGAAGCACCAGTGTGGCACCTGCGCCACACCAAGGACTAATGAACTGCACGCTGACCTGCCACCAGGACGAGAGCGGAAAGTCTGCTCACTGGTCACCGTTGCACCTCCAGGGACAAGAGCCACCCTGTGTAGCCCTGGGCAAGCAGCACTACCCCAAAGCCCCAGAGGAACATTCTTAGTTTTTATTTTATTTTGTATTCCTTTGTACAGCTCTAGAACTAAGCATTATTTCTGGATGTTTCTTTGCAGGAGGAATCACAGTGCAGTAGTAGCACATTTGGAATACTTGAGGAACATTGCAAATTGGCTAATGAACTGGCTTGAGCTGTATCGCCTGGACTAAGGCACAGATTGGAATGTAAATCACCTTAAGGTGTTGTGGACTGCCCAGAATGTTGTGATAAATATCCAGCTCAAAACATGCATCAAAACACACACAGATATCTCCACCTTGACAGAAAATTCATCTAACGTGTATTCCAAGACAAGATGCATATGTACTAAAACTCAATATGCATTGAAATATGACTTTTAGTGTGTTCTTTTAAAAATGCAAGTTAATGTGGCATTACACCTTGGAAGAAGTAATAATTAGATTTTTTAAAAAGTTGAATTTGACAAAGAATTTATTTTATAAATTTTCCCTCCCCCCAAGTTTGTTTCAGTTATTAATGTTACTGATTTAGCAACAAACTAAAGTGCTTGCTTGTAATTAAGCATGCACAGAATGGCCAGGTGGCAAACTATGATCAATATGTGCAGCAGTGGCTACCATTCCCACAAGAGCTTGCATCTCATGTTGCTTATTTACAGTTGGGATGACACACGAGACACTTCTATGTCGCTTCCTGGACTCACCATGAGCCCATTCAAAGTTTTCCCCCCCTCAGGCACTGCATTCCTATTGCCATAGGGTACAATGGCCTCAAGCATATGCAGCCACTAGCTTTCTCCTCAATATCTGTTGCAGAGTTTTGAATGTTGGCTAAAAACCCCCCAGCTATGCAGCTTACAGGCAGAATGAGCTTCATGTTTCCCCAGAGTAGACCAGTCTCATCAGCTGGCAGTTGCAGTCTCAACAACTCACTCTGAAACATTGGTAAGAGCAAGAATAAAAGGGGTTTTTCCCCCACAGTTGAACAGATCAAAAATAGCTGTACAGTACTGTAAAGCATACTGTACAAAAATGACTGTTTTGTAGCAACAGGCCTCAACAGACTCACAGGCTGTTTCTAGCAGGCTCCTGTAGACAACACTATAACTGCATTCTCTAACTGTATTAACTGCCAGCTGACTGAAAGCACTGAAGCAGAGAGGCATGGCTCTCTTTGAAGAGAAGAGGTAGAGAAGGAAGAATTGCTTATTTCTGAATTGATCGACAACTCACCCCAGCCCAGAAAGACCCCCTCCCAACCAAATCTATTAAAGGCAGCATATGAGATTGAAATACCTCCAACAATATCTTCCTTTTGCTGATGGTGGGTTTTTTTGTTTGATTGTTTGTTTTATTTTGTTTTAATGTGCCAATGCTGTGCAAACACAAAATTCATCAAAACACCTTTGGACTGAATCAGTAAGCCCAGGTGCCAGATTGGAATGGGTGGGATCCAACAGTCCCTCTAAGCTGCATCGGGGGAGCACAGCTGGGCCAGAGTTGCCATCCATTTGCTTCCAGTCACAGCCAGAACCCCCCACATATGAGGCAATATCCGCGCAAAGCACTCCGGAAAATTAGCGGAAATGGTAGTGGGGTCTAACATGCACTAACTCATGAGACTAGTGTGTGACAAGGGATGTAAGTGGCAACTTGTTAGCTAGCAGTGATTTGTCACTGCAGTCTACACCACTGCAATTATAGCGCCATAACTAACAAATTGGATGCTGGCCACTTATGTAAATGTAAGTGAGGCAGGTTCAAAATTATCATTGTTACTGTGAGCCAACCCACAGAAAGAGAATGGAAAAGAAAATGTGAAAGAATTACACAAGCCAGAAATAAATGATTAGTTGATCCCTAGAGTACCTACCTTTATGTGGAAGATCCCAGACTGAATTAGTTACTGTAATAGTTACTGTAAAAGGCTCAGGTAGCAAGTGAAGGGATCCCCCCACTTTTATGGTTCAGAGAACTGCTAGCTGACAGAAGAGATAGATGCCTGAAATAGATGGGCGAAAATTGTTATGAATGTCAGCATAATTTTGTGAATTCGACATCATGAACACCCTTGTAGAACAACACAGTATGAAATATAGATCTGGAGATCTGGGTTGTTTAAAAAGCAGAGGATATTCTTAATATTGTCTGTGTGGCAACTTACAAATTCAGAATTTGACTGCACTTGCTCTTCTCTGTCAGCGACCTTTAGATATTCCTTTGGTTTGCCTATGGTAATTGGTTTCCAAGGCCTAGTTCTGGTACTGAAAACAAACTCTTGAGTGATCAGGAGAATTCATTCTGCACAGTTGTGTTTTTTTTCAGAGCCACTAGTTTGGACTTGACTTGATACAGTTCTCTAGTGCATAGGTACCTAACCTGTTGTCTACAGACCCCTGACTGTAATGTCCTCACAGGGGGTCTGCAAAGGCTTGAGGAAATGTTATGATGTTTTGTACTTAAAAACAGAAAGAAAGCAAGAAAGAAAAGGAATCATAGAACAAAATCTTAATTTTGCTTGTTTGTTTGTGTAAAACTTGGCTTTTCTAACCTACCACCTCCATTAAAAACAGAAGTAAAAATTGGTTATGAAAATAACTGTTTGATATTGGTTATGAAAGTAACTGTTTCACTTGCAAGTGAATGATGCTGAGTGGCTGAGAGGCAGCATGTTACATTTCTTCCTACTATGAGGACAGTTAGAAGCCGCAGAAAGAGTGAGTCGGAGTCAGTCAGCATCAGTGTGAATGAGTGGATAGACTTCATGACTGTATTTCTTCTTTGATTTCTGCTAATAACACTATTTGGTTATTGTTGAGTAAAATGACTTCCTGAAATAATCGCAGTGAATTTTGTAACAATAAATTTTGGCTGAGCCTCAGAATGGATTGCTGGCTGAATTTGAAACATTAAAAAACAGATGATGTTGATGAGGGCGCACCTGTTCAAAGCAAAATGAAGCTTCTTTCAGGCATCTTTAAAAGTGTCATCATTATAGCAAGGGACATCTATTAATGAGACCCCTGATGAAAAACTTTAAATAAATATTTGATGCACTTTGAAGTTTTAAATCTTAAGCTAAGTTTTGGTGGTCCCTGGTAACAAAAATATTTAAAGGAGGTTCATGATAAAGAAAAGGTTAAGAACTGCTGCTGTAGTGAAAAATAAAAAAGATCCTGCAAACCTTCATGGATTGCTCCCTTGTCATGGTTAAGGGTCTTGAGTAATTCAGAGAAGCTATGGGCTATGCCATGCAGGGACACGGAAGATGGACAGGTCATAGTGGAGATTTCTGACTAAATGCGATCCACCTGTATCTTTGCCAAGAAAACTCCATGGATAAAAACGAAAGGCTAAAAGATATGATGCTGGAAGATGAGCCCCTAAGGTCGGAAGGCATCCAACATGCTACTGAGAAGAGTCAAGGACAAGTAGCTCCAGAGCTAATGAAATGGTTGGGCCAAAGCCGAAAGGACACTCCGATGCGGATGTCCATGGAAGTGAAAGGAAAGTCCAATGCTGCAAAGAAAAATACTGCATAGGAACTGGAAATGTAAGATCTATGAACCTTGGTAAGCTGGATGTGGTCAAACATCAGATGGCAAGAATAAACATTGACATTCTGGGCGTCAGTGAACTAAAATGGACAGGAATTCCAACCACCAATGCTGAGGAGACTGAAATTGACCAATTTTATGAAGACTTACAACATCTTCTAGAACTGACACCAAAGAATTATGTTCTTATTCTAGGGGATTAGAATGTTAAAGTAGGGAGTCAAGAGAAAAAAGGAACAACAGGTAAGTTTGGCAGTGGAGTTCAAAACAAAGCAGGGCAAAGGCTAATAGTCAAGAGAAGAAGCTGGTCATTACAAACACTCTATTCCAACAACACAAGAGGTGACTCTACATGTGCAAATAACAGAGAAGAGAAGGGAAACAAAATGCAAGGGAGATAGAGAAAGGTACAGAAAATTGAATGCTGACGTCCAAAGAATAGCAAGGTGAGACAAGACGGCCTTCTAAATGAATAGTGCAAAGATATAAAGGAAAATAATAGAAAGGGAAAAACCAGAGATCAAGTAAACTAAAAACAGGGACATTCAGATTTAAGTCTGTTGCAGCCAACCAAAGACTTAGTTTTTTCATTCTTTTTCATGCAAAATAGAAATGTGCATACTTATAAGTTACTGTTACTGTTCTAATAATAACCATAAAACATGCTGCATCTTACCATTGGAAAATATTGCTCCCTGGGGGAAGGAGAGCTCGTGACTATGCTCAGCCTTGCAGGAGTACATGGCTTTGGCTTGCCTGAAAAATCATAGTGGTCATTATTACATTAAAAAAAATCTGACAACCTAGGAATGAATGGAAGGGCATTTGTATTAAATAAAAAATTGCACTAAGGATTTTTTTTGTCAGTAAAGTACATTATGGTAAATAGTACCCATATCTTAACATTCCCTCCCCCAAAACCTTAAACAGATTTAGAGCAGTGCTTCCCAACCTCGGGTCCCCAGATGTTCTTGGATGACAACTCTCAGAAATCCTGGCCAGCACAGCTGGCGGTGAAGGCTTCTGGGAATTTTGGGTTAAGAATACTTAGGGGCACAGGGTTGGGGAAAATACTGATTTTGAGGGCATAAGGAGCCTTTTTAAGGAACAGGATATAACCGTGTAGCTTTGTAACCTGTATACCTCTGATGTACAAGAAGGTCTACACCTTGCTATATTGATTTAAGGAGGGGGCAGAAATTAAGAGATTTAAAATAAAAGTATACTTTAAGATAATATTTTAAGAACAGGCAAGGTAGAAGAGGTCAAGGTACTGATGGGGGGATATGCAGATATCCCACTGCAAAGACTAGAATAATTCACAAATGACTGTAGACTAAATATCTGGTATTTTACTTTTGTTTTCTGACTTCAAGCTTGCCCACCCCATGCAGCAGCTGTATATAAACACTTAACCCAGCCATACAGCCAGTGAGTATGCTTTGGGGGAAAAACCTTTTCCTCTGAGATGCCTCAGTTGTTGTGAGCATAAAAACAACATAGATGGATGCTTTCATTCTTGAAAACTGAATCATTTTTGCTCTTACTGTACTCCTTCTTTCTAAAAGTTCAAAGTGACCTATAAGGCGTAGGTAATCATCTATTTAGATCCAAATCAGCAAAATACTGTTCAGGTTTTAGCACTGGTTGTTGTTAGTCCAGCTAACAACAACTTTGATTTTATGAAATAAGTGGCTGTATTGAACAGATGACTAATGAAAAAAAGGTTTGCAATAATTTGCTTAACATGATCTGACCAAAGTTTGAAGTTGGTTTGTGAACCACAATTCTGGGTGGGGTGGAGAGGGAAGTTTCATCATTTGCCTTCCTATCTGAACTCAGAAACCTTTGCTTAGATTTTAACCAGCAGCTTCTTGGACGGTGTGTGTTAATCTTGACTTAAAAGAGATATATCTTTTTTTCCAAACCCAAACTCTTCTCTAAGGCAAATGAATGGAGTTTTGCGTAGCTCAACATCACTCTGTCACAAACATGTTCTCCCCAAAAATTTTTCACCAAATTACACAGCTCACATGAGACTAAAACAGATCCTACAATTTTGGGAGGCGTAGTCTAAAAACAGCAGGACTAGATGAATCCCAAGAAGGGATTAAGATTGCCGGAAGAAATACCAACAACCTCAAATATGCAGATGATACCACTCTGATGGCAGAAAGTGAGGAGGAAACAAAGAACCTCTTAATGAGGGTGAAAGAGGAGAGCACAAAATGGTCTGAAGCTCAACATGAACAAAACTAAGATCATGGCCACTGGGCCCATCACCTCCTGGGAAACAGAAGGGGATAGATATGGAGGCAGTGAGAGATTTTATTTTCTTGGGCTCCATGATCACTGCAGATGGTGACAGCAGCCATGAAATTAAAAGACACCTGCTTCTTGGGATGACAAACCTAGACGGCATCTTAAAAAGCAGAACCATCACCTTGCTGACAAAGATCCGCATAGTCAAAGCTATGGCTTTTCCAGTAGTGATGTATGGAAATGAGAGCTGGACCATAAAGAAGGCTGAAGTATCAATGCTTTTGAATTGTGAT